GCCTCAGGTAACGACTACGACTTCTTGCGACTGCTTTGCGCAGGGCGCGTGAGCTTGACGATGGGAATAGTACATGTCCTGGATGGAAGAATACATGGAGACGCAAAAGGGGCAAATGAGACTGAGAAATGTCGCCCCTGCCCCCATCATCAACATCTTGGTCCTCAGGCGCCACTACTATGGCCAAAAATCTCCTCAAATCCTCGCGTATCTCGTACGACAAGCTTTTCCGAATTTACGGGACTTGCGTCATGATATATGGACTAAGCTGGATCATGCAGAATCGGAGCGCTTTTCCCAAGAGTATCGCGCAGTGCTGGAGGCCTTACCAGCCACGATAGATGAATGCAATATCGTGTACGCGTCCAGCGCCCACTTGGACGACATTATCAGCTTTTCGACTTCGCTAAGGCCCCAGAGGCATCGCCATTTCACAGGACATCTGAGCACAGGCGCAGAAATTGGCCCATCGATCATCAATCTTGCCGCTCGGCTTCGCTTGTTCTACGCAACACACTCTACATCAGCTGAAACAATCTTGGCTAGTACTTTTGTAGTCGGGTTGCCAACTTTCCCCCGACTCGAAAACTAGGTCTGACGTCGGCTCTACTACAGCGTTACCTTCCTTGCCGCGCACCTGAGTATGTCAATCTTGTGGTCATGGCAGGCCGCATTGCATTTCAGTGCATACTGAAGCTGAAGAGTCTCATTTTGTGGGACGGCGAGAATGCGGATGGAATTTTGTTGCGCTTCACGGTATCAGCAGAGAGACGGCCAACTGTCTTCTGGCGCAGTACTCAGCAAGCTCAAGGTGATCTGTCTCTTGCCATGAGAACTTTGCGACGTACACTTAAGGAGTCATTACGGCACTGTTCCAAAGTTCGTGGTTTACAGATCGTGCATGAATCTACTTTGATTCATCGCATAAATCATGACTTCACCTCACGCCTGAAGCAGGATGTGGCAGAATTTCCCGAAATGAACCGCATCTTGCACCCCGGGTCGAGAGGTCATCTGAGGAAGTAGGTAGGTACTGCTAAGCATAGCCATGGCCACGTAGATGTCCCAAAGTTCAAATAATTAATCGCTGTGTACCACGTGAATGAAAACATCGCGACCATGGCTTTTGTCTACTCTGTAAAATGATCTCTTGACTTGATCTTAGAACTAGGCTACACTGTGTATTGTTTCAAGCTTAGAAGGAAATGATCTTGTAGTCGCCCTGGAAGCTTCCATCGAACTTGACGCTGACGTCTACATTGATCCAGACCTCATTGCCATTCTTCAAATACAGCTTGATGCTGCCCTCGGCAAGGAAAAGATCAACATTGAGACCAACACCATCCTTGAGATTGCCGTAGATGTTTCCGACATTGATGCCAAGAATGCTGACGCTGATTCCGATCTCGAACGTATCAGTGTCAATGTATCCACTGATCTTAGAAGTTGGTTAGCAAAGTCTTGAGCAGTCTCTAGCCCCCGGTCAAAGGTCATTTTCAGCATACTTTTATGGGACCCATGCCCCAATCAATTTCATGGCGGCTCTTTGGGTTGCCTGGTGGCAGGCCGCGATGTACGTCAACCTGTGTAGCAACCCACTGCGTGTTACCTTCCTCAGGCGCTGTGAGGTTAATGACGGCACCTTTGCGGAGATGTTAGCGACCAGTTCACATCGAGACTTGCACCCATGGCACGGCTTACCAATGTTCTGCTCGGTAGAAGTAGGCATTTTGAGGAATATTGAGGGAATAGTGCAATAAGGTCCGATGCGGGCGCCTGACGCAGGTGTGGACCCCGATGAGTGGCTTGTTGGACAGGAGCTTTCTCACACCGAGCTGGGGATATCAACAACACTTTTATACTTCAAGTTCGTAGTTGAGCCTTTTTCCTGTATCGTTACTGCATCGTCGACGGTCCCATGCGGCCTCGAACAAAAGACACATCGATATGTTCTACGAATCGTTCGAACTAAAGAAGCACCAGTGCACCATTGTTCTCCTTTGAGCTCGAATCAAAGAACGAACTGTCGGTTTCATCCGCAATCGTGTTCCGATTCATCCTTGATGCTAGTGGTCGGGCTCGTTCCACGCCACCACTTGCGACTCCTGACAGACGACAGCGTTTCCTTATCATCAACCATAAAAGTGCAGCCTTTTGGGGCTACAAAGGGTTTTTGCATGTCAAAACAGCAGGCCCCGCATTCACAGAGACTCGGCAGCGGGTGTACACGCGAACCTGCATCCCAGGTGGCATTGTTTCCCCGTAAGTCGTAAGACCTCAATGAAACAATTGCAAACTGCCACGAAGATTGAGCGAAATCAAGATGATGCATTCTCGGCTTCCCGAAAATACGTCTCACACTCATCACATCTTGTCCGTGGCATCACGTGACGGTTCCTGTCAATGAGATTTGTTAGTCATGAGTACTTCGATATTTCACAACTAAGTTGTGGTTATAGCATGATGTCCTTCGAGATCATAGCATACATACACTCTGCAATCTGAGCTGCGCCTGCCGATGCATCGTTGTCTATCAAACAAGCAGTCTGAGTAGATGCTACCCGGGGCGCGACCTGGCCGAGTAGACAGGCCTGTCGTGGACGGCTAATCCAGGCGTATCATGCAGGGGCTTCACCACCTGGCTACACATCCAGGCCAAAAGCGGAAAGACGGCAATGATGGACAAAGACATCCACGCTAACTCAAGGCATGCCTCGATAACGCCGTCGACTATTAGTTGTTGACATTCTTCTAAACACTCTACACTACGGAGTTAACCAACACGTATGCGCAAAACAGGTGGCATTTAGTGGCGATCGGCATCGGGTCACATCCGTCTCTTCCGTCCCGATCGGCAATCGGCCAAATCTTCTGTCTTGTCCAAATTGCTCTCACAGCCAAGACCCTAACGTTCCATGGTGCAGCAAACCATGAGCCCGCACGCCTGAAAAGAGTTTCCGACGCCCGTTTGTTCTTGACACTGAGTCCCCGCGACATGGTCTCGCCCGGGATGGCGCCGCTGGACGGCGATGGTACCGCCACGCAGAGTCAGACGTTCGGCCAATCCGTTCAGCGTGCGAGGGCCTGCGACTCGTGCCGTGGGCTGAAGGTGCGCTGCATCAGCAACGACTCACACGGGCCGTGCCTCCGATGCCGTAAGGCAACAAGAGTATGCGTCACAACCGTCCCCCCGGCTGGCTCGAGGAAGGTGAGGAAGAAGACGGTGAGCAGGGTCACGGAGCTTGAGAAGAAGATTGACCTCTTGACGGCCAGTCTACGCGCGGGGGGCGCCGAAGCCGCCGCAGACTCGCTCGACAACAGCTCGGCAGGAGGTGGCGGCGAAAGCAACACACCTCCTACTGGGGCGCTGCAGGAATGCCGCCGGGAACATCGTTGATCGCGGCATCATCAGTTCTCAAAAGGTTGACTCTCTCTTGGCACGGGACAACACCCAGTTCGTCCCGCACATGCGGGCCGTCATCTTTCCCTCGGATCTTACTGCGACAGAGCTTCGCGAGACGAGGCCTACGCTCTTTCTCGCCGTGGCAACAGCCGCGTCGACCGATACACCGGAGCTGCAGCGGTTGCTCTCGCGCGAACTCACCAGAGTTTTCGCAGAGAAGATCATGATCCGCGCAGAGAAGAACCTCGAGCTCGTCCAAGCTTTGCAAATTACAGTCACATGGTATTGGTTGCCGGATGAATACGACCAAGTACACATCTACCATTTGACGACAACCTGCATCTCCATGGCCATTGACATTGGATTGGGCGGCTGTACACCCTTGAAGCCGACAGTACCATACGGGGCATACGCATTCAGCCGCGCAACACAGATCAGCGCCATAGATCCGACGGCGCTTGATGCCCGCAGAACCTGGCTGATGTGTTACTTCATGGCATCCAACACTGCCTATGCCATGAAGCGGCCGCTTCTCTTGCGTTGGACAAGAGCAATGACCGAGAGCCTTGAGGTACTTCGTACATCGCCCGAAAGGTACGAGACGGATGAATATCTCTGTGCGGTCGTGTGGGCGAGCCGCCTTGCCGAAGATATTGACCAGTACTGCGGCTTGCCGGATGACCCTGATGAGATCTTCAAGGCACCGCAGACCCTGTATTACCTCAGGAAACTCGAGCAAGATCTGTGCACCTTCAGGGACTCGTTACCAAAGGGCATGGCACAGGGTAGGTCTCCCCCCCCCCCCTTGCTTTATGCCCTTCTTACAGACAGGCTTGCATCATCTGACGAGCCTTTAGGAAGTCTCCGAATGGTCTTCAGCGCCATTCCGCTTACTGTTTACAATAATGTGCTCCGGATCCAGCCCCCTGAAGAAAGGCAACACAAGGCAAATGTCGCCGCCATACCATCAAGAGCGCCCCGTAGCGTCATCATGGCTGATTCCGCCTTCATGACCATGGCTAACACCGACGCCATTTCAAGTTGTCTTTCGCATGTCGACATGGTTTTGGGCGCATTTCTGTCCCTGAGCCCCGAGGCCGTCCGAAGCCTCCCAACCTTCGGCATCATGCGCGCCGTCAGGGCAGCGAGCATGCTTGTCAGATTACATCTCACTCTTGTTGATGATCCGCAGCTCCTGACCCCGTTCAGGAGGGAAGACCTCCGAGCCGGACCTTGCATCGACGAGCTGCAGCACCATTTCCGCGCCGCCGCGGAGGGGAACCGATGCAGGACCGCCGCCAAATTCATTGTCGTGCTCGCCATGCTGAAGGACTGCATGGGGAGCAATCGCGGCGGTCATGGGCCCCCGGCGCGGTCAGACCAAGCACAAGAGCAGCAGTCTCTCGAGACGCCGCTACACCTTCTCTCGCACGCTGCTGCCGCCGCGACGGCAACCGGATCAGCGCAACAAGGGCCTGGGATCGGCGGCAACGCTGAACGGCTCACGTTTCCTGGTCTGAACGGCCAGCCTTCATCGGTTGCGCCCTCTGTCTGGCAAGATTTCTCCGGCAGCGCGCAGGCCCTGTCCCTCCTGCCTGGTCCGCTGGCTTTTGATACAGACCAGTTCATGGCGCTCTACGATCAGGACCTCGCCTTCTCGCTCGGTCTGGACTACATGTACAGCGGCGACAGTATGCCCCTGTACGCCGGAGAGGCGAGTACCGGGTTTGATGGGACCTCGGCACAGACTCACAATATGAATAGCTAAACAGCCGCACGGGCTGTCTCCAAACATGACGCAGGGGTAACAACTATAAGTGCTAAAGAGGGGCTCATGGACATTCATCTTTGTGTAGCGAGGACAGGTATTTCTGATCAAGTCAAGTCCCCGTTTACGACTGGACATACGGTTCGGCAACTTTAAGGACGGCTTGTTTGTACAGCAACACACTTTTTTTTAAGGCCATCGTTGGCTCTGGTGGTCATGACCTCGTTCATGTCAGGCCTTGGGCCGATGCTGATGCGCGTTAGGGTAGTTCATCGACATGTCAATCGGCAGCCTCCTGTGAGTGTGGGAAAAACTAGAGCAGGGCACTCATTAAGAGGCCAAGGAAGTATAGGCTCTGCCGGCGATCATAGACCTTATTAGCAGTAGAAAGTGGGATATGTCTTTTTCGAGTCATCAACGTCAGGCGGCATGTCTTGAGCACACGATTGATGCAGCGG